GAAAATTTTCCTAACTTAGTGAATTCGGCTTCCAAAATTTTAAACGCGTTTTTCGAAACGATATTTTCAAAGCCGGTGAGAATTATCAGTTGAAACATTCGATTACAGCTTGTTAGGTATATTTATCAGATAATGGTCGAGGAATAATATCTCTGATGAGAATTGTAAATTTTCACAAAACACGATTTTTTAGGCAACATTTTCCCAAAACAAAATTTTGAAAGTTCTCCGATTATTACCTGTATTCATCTATGGTAATAATACTTTTTTATTTTGAAGTTTGAATTTGAGTTAATTTTTATAGAAAATCTTCTTCGCTGGCAGAAAATTTTTGGGAGCTTCTCCTAAAAATCTTTACGGATCAAGAGAATTAACAATTTTTCAAAATGTCTTATCGATTTTTAAAGCAAATTAACTTTGTAAATGTCATGTTTTATTTATTTAAAAATATAAAAGGCATTATTCTATTATTAAAGTAAAATTACGAGAAAAGCTATTATTTTACTTGGTATGTGATATACTGTCTTATGAAAAGTGTGAGACCTAAAGCTTAAGATAAAGATTTAAACTTAAATGTATTGATCCTATAAGATTAACTTTTGACGTTACTGAAATCATACAAACTTCTTTCGAATTTTGTTTGAAAACTTGAGCAGAGGTTTATTTGGAAGATAGTAGTTTTGTCAACGCAAATTTAACGAAAATATTGAATACATTAATTTATTTTCGAGATTCAATTAAACTACATACCCACACAACTAATCTTCAACATTAGAGAAAAGCATAGATTTTTTACTGCAGGTGGATATAAGCTTATGAAAAGTTGAGACCCTAAAGCTTTTTTGAGCCATTTCACAAAAATTTCACGTCAAAATGACTAATAACAAAACAATTAACTTGTGGGCACAACAATGAGTTCACGATGTGAGCAATTCGCATAGGTAAGCGAAATGAAAATAAAATTTAAATAATTGTTACTGAAAATAGAAAAAAGAAATATTGCAATGTTTTTCTACATATTTCGTATTGCTTAAGCAGACCAAATGGCAGGAATAAACATAAATTAAGAGATGAGCAAATAAAATACTAAACAGATGTGTCAAATAGAAAAACTCATATATATATACAGGGTGTGTACACATATATGTTTTGTTCATATCGGATGAGATACGTTAAACTATTGTCTATTTTTCTCAGCTAATATTTAATCGCAAGAATTGGGTAAACTTTGGAGTATTTCGAATCGAACAAGCAATTGGCATAAATCATATAAATTGGTATAATCAAGTTATAGTATATATAAAACCTCAAAAAGCGTCTTCTCCGCTTGAAGCATCCATTATAAGACACACTGTATGTTTATAAGTATGAGTATTCATGTCCATCAAATAAACCAAAAAACTATTAATCTATATATTTAAATGTATATGCATGAATGTCGCCATCGGATGCTGAATCATTTGCCAGCATGACGTTGTGTTGATAAAAATACTTATTTTTATTTTAATTTTTGGTTTTTTTATCTATATTTTTATTTATGTTTTCATTTTAAACTTTCCGACAAGTTTTCGTTTATATCAAAAAAACAAAATAATTCCTTTGCTTTCTCTTTCGTTTCATAATTTTTCAGTTTTTCACCTTTGTGGGTATATATTATACCATATTTTAGGGTGTCCATTATTTCGCAAGTTGATTTTTTTGTTTTGCAAACGTCCCCTGAAGATTAAAGAAAAGGATCGAAAGTAAACAAACTCGTTATTTTCAATTTAGAACGCACTTAAATCATTTTACTATTTTCTCTTATAATTTACATGGGAATTTTTAATTTCAACGGAAATAACGGACACCCTAATATATATATATATACATATAATACATATATATAAATATATATACATATAATACATATATATAAATATATATACATATATGCGTGTGTAAGAAAACAAGCTATTCATAACCGAAAATATCACTTTGTTCGTTTGTGACTTTGGTTCAGCAGCTGCTTGCTGTATTCGCTGTGGGAAAATAATTCACGTTATATGCCTAATCGAAATAATTCTCTTGTAAAATGTGCAGAACAATTTTATTGGCGCTAAATGAAATGAAAGTTGTATTTTACATATAATGTATTGGCATATATATATACATTTGTATGTATGTAATTAGCTTTCCAAAGGCGCCATGACTGAAGAAAGGCATTCATTCCTATATATTAATTACATACGTTTATCTATTGGCTTGTGTGTGTACTTTCAAGTGCTGGTAGGTGTGAATGAAAGATAAACATGCATTTGATGTGGAATTTGCAATTAGGAAATAAAAACCTTAACATTGTGCATTTGTTTGCAATTTTATTAGCTACTAACTGACGCAAAACTATTTTTACTTTTTAAATTTATTTTTAATTTTTAAATTCATTTGGCCATGCATTCTAGGAGTTCAGAGTTGGCAGCGAAATTGCGGAATTAATACTCTATTTTTTTTATATATGTATATTTATATTTTTAGGATAATTTTGCCTAAACTTTATTTCCTAAAAGCGAGCCTTTCTTCGAAGACTATACCCTCTTTTTATCTTATATACACTTGTGTGAACAGTTGGGTATTCAGCAAACTTTTTAAAAAAGATGCACCAAGAAGTAAGAGCTCAAAACAAACCATATGCAGATATGTGTTAATGCCAATACTTTTTAATCTAGAAATATGTCCCGAATGCCACTAAGCAAGACAAGAGAATAAACTTGCAACATAATCAAGGTTGCTATAGAATGTATATCAGCTGTAATTACAATTAACCAATCTACAATTTTAAATGTTATTTAACAATCTTCCTTTAAATTGACACTATAAGTTTGCTCATAATTTCGATGTCAAAACTGTTCCATAAAAGCAAACGCCGGGAGAGCTGTTTTCGATTTTTGTGCGTTCTTCAACTGAATTCCTCCGAGTTTATTTGAAGCAAATTCCTTAAAGTATGTATGAATCTCCTTTGTTACTCATTATTAACACTTTAAATAATTTCACTAAACATTTTTAAGAAAAGGGTTGTGAGATCATTTAACGATGTTGCGTATACGACATGTAGGCCATAAACTTTTGAAATGCATACATACAACAATACTAAAACAACAACGATGTCAAGTTTAAGTTCTATGATAGTTCATGAAACAACCGGCTAGTTTCACGCAACTTTATTATTCTATTGCTGATGGAAAAAATCTAAGCAGCTACACTAAACTGTTCAGGTGCAACATTCTATAACAGCGTATTGGCTGATGTCAACGATAAATTATTCTGAAAAGTTGGTTATATTCACTTGAAGTTGATCTGGCAAATAGTTTCGGAGATATGAGCGTATTCCTCCGAAAACCTTAAAGACCTTTTTTCTCGAAACGCTATTTTCAGAGTCGGTGAGCAAAGTTCCACGGCTGGACCGATAGACTTGAAATTTTTCCACGACCTTCTTAGATATATTTGTCAGGTAATGTGTTAAGCGATAAGATTTTGACAATAATTTCGTTCTATACTCGTAAATTTTTTCACGTAAAACGACTTTTTTTGGAAGCCGCCATTTTGTTAAAAATCAAAATTTTGCCTACTCTTTCGGTCATTACCTGTACCATATTCATACATACTAATAACAAATTTCTTTAGTTTTTGGATTTGAGATAATTTTGAGCAGACAAAAATTACTCTCCGCCAAACACCTTTTTCGGTGGTCCTCTTGGAGATCGAATTATGGAACAAGGAAACACAACATTTTTAAAAATTTATCGTAGTTTATAAAAATACATGATATTCTGTAATTTTACGCTTGGTTTTGTTTATTTATTCAATAAAATGCCTCTTCAAACAAAACCCAAAATCATGAAAAGCGCGTTTCTCTGACTTACAAGTAAATATAACACCTTAAGCTGAAACTAACAAAAACACTTTTAGATCCAACGCTCTCTCTTTTAGATCTAAAATCTAATGTAAAATCACTCTTGCAAAGAGAAGCTACTTTTTAATCGAGAAGTACAGTCCTCCTCTCTCTCTCTCTCTCCCTCTCTCTCTCTGGACCGTCAGAACCAACATTTTATGAACCTCTCTTCATATTCGACTAATTATGTGTCAAGGAACCACGATATCATTTGGTAGAAAAAAAAAATATCTATCTCTAGATCACTAGACAATTTATAGTATATTTTATGCCGTTATAACCACAACAGCAAGATGGAGGCTTGAGAGGCAGATTTTTGGTATTATTTATTTATTTTTTTGGTTACTTGCATATTAATTTGGCGAAATATCCATCAATGCGAACTCTGCCTTTATTATTTGTGATAATTTGGCTCCAATACCTTGAATATTTCTAATATTTTTAAATTTTTTTTTCAAACAGGTAATCCATTTTTCTTCTTTTCAAACTGCATACCGCACATTTCACTCTCACTTACCGACGACAAGGATGAAATGATGCGAGACTCTTTGAATCGAGAGAGAGCTGTCAAAACCCACATTTTTTATAACATTTGCCAATCATGCCACTGTCGAACGAAAATGGATTGGGTATTATAAAAAAAACTTGGGGGTATTTTGCATTTCGATATTATTTTTAGGTGCTCCGTCCCCAAGTAGGCCTATATAACGCATATACATCCCTATATACTTGTATTTATATTATAAAATTTTTAAAAATGCATATAACATAAAAAATTAGCATATAAATAAAAAAAATTATAACAAAGAAACAATACAAGTCATAATAAAATATCATGGTTTTATAATGAACTTTTTAAATTAAATTAACAAATAAAATTTAGTTGCACGTTATTCAAAAGTATTTGTGTCGTTCTTTTCGCACTGCTTTTGTTAGCTATTTTTAGCGGGTTTATTTCTGGCATCCCGCCTTTTTTGACATCAGCTGTTCGAAATTCCCTGATTTTTATAATCAGGGAAAGAGAATAACAGAAAAATCAGCGAAAATGAGAGAGTCTCGCATCATGTCATCCTTGCCGACGACTTAACACGAGAGAGAGCAGAGCGCCAGTGACAACTAAAGGCTATGTGAAGTGACAGCTGATTGTGAGAAGGGCTGCATTGCTACACAACAACACTGCCATGCACTCGACTGCCGACAGGTTAAACGACAAAAACATATTACACTTGACATTTTGACATGTTGAGTGCAGCATCGCAAATCAAAGTTGAAGAGTTCATGTGACGTGACGGCTTTTTACAACGGCAACACAAATAAATAACAAAAAGCACGCAAAACAACAACAGCAACACATTTTGGTGAATGCAGGCCGCAAGGCACAAAAGAGACAAAGCGGAGGTGGCACAGCAAAAGCGAACTAAAGAGGATATGAAATAATATGCAAATAAAGTAAATAGAAGCAAAGTGCAAAGGAAGCAAAAAAAGTTAACCAAAACAACTGGACAATAAAGGAAAAATTTGTGGAACGATTTCGATTGAACAAAATTGATGCGCCTGACAGAGCAGCAGCTGCTACCGAAAACAGCGACCAACGAAAGGAGCAACAGGAATCAATAAAACGCGTACAATAATAACACTAAGAGCTGTGAAAAAGCAGCAAACAAAGTAGAGAAGTCCAGTTGAAGGAGCATACGAAATAATTGAAATTGAAGAGGGTCCACAGGCGGCAGCTGCTGTAACGTGAAGCGTAAGGATTTGCAGGCGCAGACAGTCAAGCACTCGAGCAAGGCAACCGGAAAATAATAGCGCGAGTGTCAAGTGGAAGCGGTGTACGCCGGAATGAATAAGGTGTGTGTGGTTTATGCGCCAATAAGAACAAACAAATAGAAAAAAATCAAATAAATAAATTAGTGACGCTACAGGATATGCGAAAAAAATCCATTATATATAAAATGTGCTAAAAATTACACGTAATTTGTTTGTACTTTAAGCTACCAGTGGCTTTATTGGCCAGCACTTTGCTGCTGTGGCAGGCCACGGCGCTGGCGGGGCGCATCGTGAAGCGCAGCTATTCCGATCAAAGCGTGCACGGCTACCAGACGGAGGTGAATGCTTAACACACATACACACCCATACATGTATATATAATAATAAACTAATGCCTATGTTTTTTGCATACAAATGTAACATCCGCAGCGCACATGCTGGTGGAACGAGGTGTGCAAGGAGGAATTTCAAAATCTTTTCCGCTGCAAGTGCCCACAATTCTCATACTGCCGGTAGTTAACTGTTTGAACTATTGAAAAAAAAAAAATATTATTATTTCTTTCTATTACATAATTCGCTCGCGTGCATGTGGCTGTGTGTATGCATGTGCAACAGCTCACCAGGACGCTACTACAATGCGTATTGTTCAATGACCGACACCGGCTACATATGGACGCAGCCAACATGGGACTGGGTACCTTGAATGCTGCCACCGCCGGTTGACTGCCTACATATTTAAATGCTAAGCACACACCAACACACGTATATATATATCACATATTCATATACTTACGCACCCACATTTGCCTATAGTTAGGTTAGATAATATTCAAAAGCAAAGAACAATGAAAAGTCGTAAAAATATATATAGTATATAGTCTTACATACATATGTATGTATATTAAAGCTAGCTCTAAGCGCAAAGAGTGCTTATTATTAACACAGACATACTAATGGTGCTTTACAACACACTTTTAAACTTAAAAAATATTTTACACAAACAATAAAAACACATACAAACACAAATATAACAAATTACAATTGTTCCGTTATTCCCAACAGTCATTTATATATACACTTATAGCATAGCTTAAACATATTTACTAATATATTTATGTTAACCTTCTTTAATCCAGCGCTTAAGCTACTTTTCATATAAATACCATTATAACATCTGATCAAATTTGACCCGGACTGGCAAAAGGAAAACTACATTTTTACCAATTTTAGTATAAATCTAATTATTGCCTTCACAATAGACTCCTGAGCCAATACAAGCATATCAACGCTTAATTTAATTTTCCATGCGTTTCTATTTTCTTCGATTATAAGACTCATCCTTATTTAAAACAATTTAACATTTTCCGATTTCCTACAGCACTAAAAAAAGGTTCTCCACTTTGCAGGAATTACGGACTTCTACGTAGAAACCTAAAAAAAATCTCTATTAAAAAAATAAAAATTGACAAAATGGCGGCATATTAAAAAAAAAAATTTTTTACTCAAAATTTGGATCGTTTTTTGTCTGCGAAAACTCGATAGATGGAGAACCGTATACATATCATGCTCAAAAATATGATATTAATGGGTTTAAAGATAAACTGTTAGAGCTGATTGAGCTGAGCGGCTGCACTTTATAACGCTGTAACTCAAAAACTATTTGAGATATCGATTTAAAATTCGAGTATATTAGTTTTAATAGTATAACCTATCGAAATGTGAAAAAAATAATTTTTTGTAAAATTTCACACTAAATTTGCAGCTTAACTAACAAATAATGTTAATAAATTTTTGACATTTAGGCTCATTACGCCTAGACTTCAAAGCAAAAGCGGTGCCGAAAGTAACATTGATTCCATTCTCACGAAATCCATCTGTTAGCGATCTCAAAACCTTATGGTTTTGTAAACTACTTAAGGCGTTTAGAAGTATTCGCTACCAAATATTTTAGAAGAATGCTGACATTTCATGGCTGTATAAAAATCTGTGTTCGTTCCGGTTACGTAAGGCCATCTGTAGTGAGAGTCTTTAATTTAATTTTTTTTTAAACTTCAAAGCTGCGACATCAAGCTATTCGCTTCGTATTCTTTGGTTTTGTGAGAAATAGTGATTTTAAACAGCGATAACACGATACACTACCTAATTTCTGAATTTCACTTAAGGAATAACTTCAGAAAATATTAAAAGTTACATACAATCACATATGTTTACATATATCGACACATACTCACACATACATTCCTGAAAGCTTTTACGAACGACCAATCAACTATGCTTCCAAATTAGTGAACCTTATACATTATTAGTATAATAACACGTTATTTATATATACCCAAATATACATATATAAGCATATGTGCATAGAATATTGTACACATATATGTATATATACATATGTAAATACGCGAAAAATCAACAACGCGAACATTAAATGATCATATCCTCTAAAACGTTTTACCTTATTAACCTTAAAGACTTATTGATGCAACGTCATCCCATTTGGTGGGCGAACCCAAACACATACATGCACATTCGAAATAATATATATATATTTATGCACGGCACAGTTGTAGTTATGCAAACGATTACAAATATATTGTTATTAGTCTACATACCTATAGCATACATGTCAGAGTTATGCTAATTATATCTACTTACATATATATACATACACAATATATATGTATACAAATGCTACGATAAGTATGATATTGTTGATGAAGTTTTATTAAATGACATATTAATAAATCTGCCAATTTGAAAGCAACAAAAACAATAATTACATACAGACAATTTAATTTATTCCCCTTCAAACCGGTTTTTTGAGCTAACATAATAATACTGGGGATATACTTAGATATTACTTAGTGGACACATGTGATAAGGCAGCTGTGATTAGAAATGGCAAACATTATTGTTGTCTTTTTATAGTTCACAAAACAGCCGCCTGCACACACACATACATGCATACATACATTCATTATTATTACCTTACTTGGAAAGCTTTGTGAGTAGATGTGTATGTGTGTTGGTATTTTTTCTTATGTATTCACTCCATTGACCTGTCGACGTCAGCAAAATATTGGAAAATCAATACCAGCAACATTTGCTGACAACGCACAGTGGGCCAAATAGCAGCGGTAAGTGGAGGTTATATAAAGTTGATAGTAAAAACAAAAAAATTTTTTTTTGAAGATGCAGTTTATTTAATAAATCCCTAAAAATCAACTTCAAATTTTTGAAGAATATTCTTGTTAAAAAAAATCGATTTTTGAAATTCACAAGTGGATATAACCCCTTAAGTGCTCATGAGCTGGGTTTTTCATGATGGTATAGCAGCTGGCGCACGATTTGTTTTTGAATGGAATAAACAAAGATTTGAAATTAATTACGTAAACTGAACTGACACATCAAATAAAAATATTGTATTTGCTCATTCTAACAGCTTGCCACACCACAGATGTTTTCACTGGTAAATTCAGTCTACGCAGCGATAGGTCTGTTAGTGTATAGAGTGCGTTTACCAATATCAACTCTACAAAGAGTCAATTTAATATTTCGACCTTCTTAAAGCTCAGAGCTGAAACCCTTTCGACCATCTACAACTTGAGTATGTTCCCATTTTGTCAAAAGATTATATTCGAACTTCATATCCATGGTACACTTAGTCTTCATCTGTATTGGACCAAGTTAAACCGAGTCAAAATGCCTTAATCGAGTACTTATTTCCATGGGTGGTTTGTGTCTTGACTTGATTCGAAATCAGCTAATTTCAGCTAGTTTATGATAGATCTGGTTTAGATCATAAATTTGAAAAAAAAGAGTGTTCATAGTTTAGAGAAAAATAAGTTGTGTTTGCATCGAATTGTGATTGGTGATGAAATATGTATCCATTACCACAACCCTAAGCGTAAAAAATCATATGTGAAACCTGGACAACCAGTCAAATCAACGGCAAAGTCAAATATCCATGTCGATAAGGTAATGCTCTGGATTTAATGAGATCAGAAGGACATTATGCATTATGAGCACATAAAACCAGGTGAAACCATTAGTGGGGATCACTACCGGCAACACAGCGATTGCCGAAAAACGACCAAAAAGATGACTAAACATTCCAAACTAATTTTCATGCCACACATTTTCCAACTAAGAACCACTGTTGCTGAATTTAAAGACGCGTGCGCACTTTCGCTGTCTAGGTCTACTATACCTTAATCTACGACAACATTAATACATAAAGTAGTAGCTATACTAATCAAAAACAGAAACAAGAGGAAAATAGTCGCACGAATATATTGCAACGCAGATTTACAAGTCAACGACTATGGTCGGTTAGGGATTCTTTGCATAAAACTCAATTAACCAGCTGTAAGTGCGAATTGACAACACGCTCCAACGAAATAGACATAGAAGATAGATATAATTTTAGATATATACATATGGAGTCCGAGTAAATATACTTGAACCTTTCGCAAATTAAACGCATTCACTCCACAGCAACAGGATGAGCAACAACAAGATATCGAACATGGAGAAGTTGTGCGGTTTGGCTTTCATTTTGGTCGCGTTGGCTTTCGACTGGAGTGCGTGCAGCCACTTGCCAACTCATCGCATCGACTATCCCGAGGATGCGTTGACGCTGAACGAACGCTTCTTCAACGACGTGCGGGCACTGATAAAGCGGCGGCTCAAGGAAAATGCAGCGGTAAGCGGATGATTATTTAGCTAACGGTTTATTTTTAATCTGTAAATATTCGCAATCACAGTTGCAAGAGTTGCATATGGACAATGAAAACGTCGTTGGAATTGGCGGCGGCAGAGGTGGCAGCGGCAGTAACAGCAATGAGTTCTCAGCTAATTTTGAACGCAGCAGCGCTGGCGGTGGTGGAGAGGGCAGTGTTGGCAGGAATGTTGTAACGCCACTGCCGATGGTGCCAACACCCGTGTTAGTGGAGAACTGGCCCACCGAAAGCCACTCCTTCGGACAGGTCACAGCCGTGTCTATAGATCCACAAGGCGATCCGGTCGTCTTCCATCGCGCCGACAGATATTGGGATGCTAAGTAGGTCAACAGCTGTTACAATAATTAATTTTTTGTGCGTATATTTGTGTGTGTGTGTGCATTTGTAGTAGTTTCTAAACATATTTTTTTGTGTGCGTGTTTTTTTCTTTGTTATTGTAGCACTTTTAATGACAGCAATATATTCTATTTGATCGAATATGGTCCTATTAAGGAGAAAACCATTTATGTGCTGGATCCCAAAACCGGTGCCATAAAGTCCGGTTGGGGTGAAGACATGTTCTACATGCCACATGGTTTGACTATCGATGTGCATGGGAACTACTGGATTACAGACGTGGCTATGCATCAGGCTTTTAAGGTGAGTTGAGAGTACAGTTACATTGGAAAGAAAATTAGGAAACAAAAATAATAAATAAATAAAAATTTACAAAAAAAAAAATAAATAAAAATTTAAATGAAAAATTAAAAAATTCGAATAAAAATTAAAATCAATTAAAAAACGCTATTTTATTAAAAAGTAATAAAAGACAATTATAAAAACAAAAAAAATTAACAAAAAGGGAAAAACAGTAAGAAAAAATGTTAATTAATAAAACAAATACAGAAATTATATGAATTTTTGATAAATATTCAAAGTAATATAAATATTATAAACATAATAAGTAAAACACAAAAATTAATAAAATACTAAATAAATAAAATCTAAATAGGAATATAGTAAACTGAAAATTATACACAATTAAATACTAAAACCTACTTTAGGGATGTTATTTAATAATTGAGAAAATCGAGAGCGAACACAAAACAATATTTCAATTTTCTACTGCTTTCAGTTCAAACCATTTGACAACCAACCGCTGCTCACTATAGGAAAACGCTTCAAGCCCGGCTCCTCCCTCAATCATCTCTGCAAGCCCACTTCCATTGCTGTGGCAACAACAGGCGAGGTAGGTATTGGGAGGGGAAAATTACAAGAACATAATAATATAACTGTTATACGATAAAATAAGTACCAAAACACCTTTTCGAGCATTAAATACGTATTTGGAAGGAGAAGTCACTCATACGCACTGTCTAAACTTACTGCGAACAGAATATTCGATTAATTTTCTGCAAACTGCTATATTATAATAAAACAAAGGCAATTCTTATAATTGTATGCACATTTGTTTCAGTTCTTTATCGCCGACGGTTACTGCAACAGTCGCATATTGAAATTCAACGCTGCTGGACACATTCTACGCACCATACCACAACCACCGGGTGAGCAAGCAGGCTGAGAGCAAGATCTATATAACATAATAAATTTGAAAATAATTTTTATGTTACCTAAATATTTTTATTTTTGTTTCTCTAATTTAGAATTCCTCTCACTACAAGTACCGCATGGCATCACTCTACTGGAGCACCTTGATCTCTTGTGCATTGCCGATCGTGAAAATATGCGCGTGGTTTGTCCAAAGTGAGTTTTTGTATAAATTAAACATTGTCACAGTTACGTTGTAAATAAGTTGCACTTTCCACCATAGAGCCGGCTTGAAATCGTCTCAGGGTGAGGGTCAGCCTGCCGCCACCATACAAGAGCCCGATTTGGGACGTGTTTTCGGCGTAGCTGCTTACGGTGATATTGTTTATGCCGTAAATGGACCGACATCCATGTTACCAGTGCGCGGTTTCACCATCGATCCACGCTCCGAGACGATCATCGGTCACTGGGGTGAATTCAAGAATCCGCATTCAATTGCGGTCTGTGTTAATGGTTCGGCGCTGTATGTGACCGAGATCGGTACAAATCATCAGACCAACAAAGTATGGAAATATGTTTTGGTTTAAGTGGTGTTGGTCAAGATGCTGATAGGTCGTGTGGAGGTGTGTGAAAATTTGAAGAAGCAGCAAGCAAAACAAGAAAATGTTTTTTAAATCATCCACAGCAACAATAATCCAGTGTACACGCAATTATATAACACGCAAAATAGCAAACTTGCAATGAATTTAATCGAAATTAAATGTAGTAACTAAATAAAGGGCAAAACGTTTGATTTGCACCAGGAAATGTAACCTAAAGTAAAACATATTTACCTCGTAAACAAACACACACCAACAAAAATATGTAAATTATATTGCTGTAATACAAAGTAAAAACAAAAAGAGCAACTCAAGTCATATCTCGTAGAAGAAATAGTAAATATAACAACAAATAACACATTATTTGATAGCAATTTCGCAACCACTTCCATTAAATATATTTGAAAGTATTCGAAAGTAGCTTATTACACACTTATGTGTGTGTGCGTATATGTAAATCATAACCAAAAGAGCTTTCACTATAATCTAAAAATGCTAGTAACAATTTCTTGATTACACAAAATAAATACAAAATAAACTAAATACTAAATTTATATAAGCAAGCACAATACCGTTAGTTGAAAAGAACACTTAACCAAATCCACCAAATAGAATGAAATGTATGAAATATAAATAGAATGTAGTAATAATGCAAACACACAAGTAAATATGGCATTGGCGAACAAAATAAATTTAGATACTAAAACTAAAGCAAAACATTGATTAGCCGCACTCTAGTACTGCAATATAATCAACAATATATCCTCTAGCATAAATGGCATGTGGTCGTGGCGAAAAATGCACTAACTACTTCCTAGACACAACATTATTCCCACTTCGTTTGTGCTTCGGTGGCTTTGGATTATTTTATTTATAATTTATGCATAAGTAATTGCTTATGCAAATCAAAAGTATTGTAAATTTATTTGTGAATCCTATAAACCCTGTACCTAAAGTTAAAGTAACCTATAAACAACTTATATCAAAAAAAAAAAAAAACTAACAAATAAATAAAATTGTCGTCTACCCCATAGAGCTGTGGTGAGTTTAATTATGTGAGAAATTCGAAGTAAACAGAAATTTTGGGTTTACTGGAAATAGAATTTTAAAAACATAACAAAAAAAATATACAATAAAAAATGTAAATATAAGTTAACAATAAACACATATGTATATATGGAAAAAACAAAATATTAAATGAATATAATTAAAAAAATAAATTAAAACAAAAAATAAATTAAAACAAAAAATAAATAAAACAAATGAAATGATAAATAAATATCAAATAAAAATATATATAAAATGAAATAAAAATTAAACAACAAAATAAAAAATATATAAAAAATTTTAAAAAAAGGAAAAACCAATTTTTAAATAAATAAAAAATATTTTAAAAACTTATTTGAAAAAAAATGTAAAAATGTATATAAAAAAAATTTAAAACTATATAAAAACATAAAAAAAAATGTAAAAACATTAAAATGTATGCCAAAAAAAAATTTTAAATAAAATAAAAAAAAAATTTAAATAAAATTAAAAAAAAATTAAAATTAAATGAAATAAAAATAAAATAAAATAGTATAAATAAAGAAAATAGAACGGAAAAAATTAAGAAGCAAATATAAAATAAAAAAATTAAAACAAATAAAAGAAAATAAATGAAAATTAAGCTAAACTGCTACAAATTCACTACACCACTCTTAAAACATATAATATATAAAAACCCCTTTATAAAATACATATATAGAAATCTATATTTTCATGTAGCAGGCTTCAATATGCTTAGAAATACATATAGCTACTAAAATTTTATAAGCCTACGCTAAAAACCACAATAAATGATTAATTCGCAGTTCTAGCAAAAGGATCAACTAACAAATATAATTGATGCAAAATGTAAGACGACCCACTTCAATCGTTAACTTTTTCAACCACATGTAGCCACTTATGCACAAATGCCAGCACTTCGTTTAACTGCGCCAACCACACGTCCAGCACGTCTTGCGTATCCGCGGCGAAAAAGACTGTAGCAGTATCGACTGCTTCACCGGCTTTTTGCAGCGCGCACTGCAAACAGAATGCGCGTGCGCGTGCACAAAGCTCACGCGATGCCGCCTGCAGTGGCATGGTCTGCACATTTGAACGCATATCCAGCGTAAGAAGCAGTTTGTCATCCATTTGATTTTCATCCGTCCACACGCGTAAGTGTAAGCCGTCTAAGTTGCACCAACGGCGATTCCAATTATGCAGTGTATGTGGGTCTTGCACGTTTAAGAAACCGCTGTAGGTGTGTTTGGGGAAACGTATCTCAGCGCGGCCGCATAATTGAATTTTCGCGCAGAGATTTGTAGATTTGGTGCGCGGTGTCAACGGTAACAGGCAGTTTTGAGTGCTGGCGCGCAAACAAAGTTTATTTGTGTTCTCCGTTTCACATACCACATATTCGTAAGGCACAAAATTGCGAGCGTTCAAAGTGAAACTGGCGTGCAAACGAAAACGCGACACGATTTCATCTGCAGACGAAGAGGAGGACGCTGTGCCGGGTGTGCGTGCGGTGGGGAGTTTCTAAAAGTAAAAAAAAAAAAAATAATAATAATAACTGAGTAAATTACCAATTTTACATTAAAGCCGTGGTTTAACTCACCACTACGGCGCGCTTCGGTTCCAGCGACAATGTTGACACTTTGCGCAAACGCAGCATAAAAACGTTGCAGCGCACCACTGCATCCTCTTCCGACAGACCACTAGCAAATTCAATGCCACATTCACTAAATATCGCCTGGCCATTGTGACACTCTGCGGATTGTGTGGATTTTATAACACCGCCACAATCAAAAGTCACTATATAGAAATAATTGAAGAAGAAATCCTGATTGACATCCACTTTGACCGGCAAACGCATGTCGTCTATGTAAAAGCGATGCGTGTGTTGTTCTGCCGCACGCTTCGCTGCTGGCGTTGTCGCTGCCAGCGGTCGCTGTGGCCACACATCGCGCCGGAGGCGTGAGAAAAGTAACAAACGTTCAGCTTCAACCATTTCGGGTGATATCTCCACTTCCGGCAGTTGACGGCATATCGTTACGGCTTGCGCTAATTGCTCCACCACTGGCGCTTGCTCATCCAATGAGAACAAGGTGTCTAGATCGTAAGTGGAAGATCTGCTCTGTAGCTGTGGATCGGTTTGGTTGTGCGCATTTACGCTTTTCGATAAAGCAATATTTGCCGTGGGAAAACTGAAGGAACTGGACAGACGTCGTGTCTCATTTTTAACAAATTTTGTGCTGCGTTTAAATGATTTTCGCAAGGCGTTCTTTAAACGTTGATAACGTGCAAAGTTATTACTACTGGAAGCTGTTTCGATGCAGCTTTGCGCGTGGGTGGTTGATGGCGGTATGTCACCATAAGTGCTGGTGTTTGGTGTGGAATGCTTTCGTTGTTCTCCTGCAACATTTAGTTGATCTTCTTCCGTTATTTGATGGATTTCTTTGAGGCTAGAGGTGTGTGCTAGTTGTTCCGACAAGTCTAATTGCGCTTTCCTTGGTGTTGCAGGGCAGCTACTGCTTTGCTGCTGGCACGTTGAAGGCGATGTAAAGGCTATGTCGCTGGAAGGGTTGCGGCTGGACGAGCGCTGTGTGCTTAAATGTGACTGAAATTCGCAGAACGGAAATTAATATATCTTATTTAATAACAGTAAAGATACATGAATACGTGAATAACAGGGGTTTGAAAGTCGAAAAAAAATTAAAATATGTGTTCATTTGTATATAATGAAAATAATGCAGTTTGAAATATAGGTATAAAGAGGAATGTCTGGTGTTAGAAAAATCTTACTTGCATTGCGCCGTCAACCAAATTAAATAAAAATTTCATGAGATATGTTTTTGTTTTAATTTTTTAGTATTAAAGAAATATAAAGTGGCAAGAGCATGTTTTTAACAATTATAGTTAGTAACAAATAGATGATATTTGAGGTATTTGAAAAAAATAAAAATAAAAAAAAGTTGTAGCCTAATATTTAAGCGTGTCTAAAGTGTAAGCTCTTTAAACCTAATAAGAGTCAATGAAAATTTCTACCTTAGTCGTAAATTTGGGAGCAAATTGCTTGTTAAGTGTGTTTTGTGCACCCGAAGTCATCGAATCGCTAGCCAAACTTAAATCTAATTGACTAACAGCAGCCTGAGAAATGTTATCAAAATCTGCATCATTTGGCGTGTCGTAGGAGATGGAATCATTTGGAGTTGGTGTAGAAGTTGAGAAATGGCGATAAGTATTTATGTGGCTCATGGAATCAGAACGCAAAGAACTGGCAGATTTGTTTAGAACATGCTAAAAAAAAAGGAAAATGGAAAAAAAGTAGAAAAAACATAAACATACAAAATCAAAGATTAGATAAAATTTATAATAAAATATCCGATAAATAGTTACTGAATTGTTTACGATACTCACATTATTCATCTTTTCAGTAGGCTCTCCGTTTCCGTGATCCGCTATCAGTTCACTCCGACAAAGATTGTCTAAAAATATTTCACTACGGTGCACTGACAGATCCGATTTACTCAAATTGCGATCTCGTTTTGGTGGTGAATGATGCTCCTGCATGCGCACATTATTGAGCGACTGACAATGCGATAGCGTCATCGAAGTGTCTGAAGCGCTGACATGTGGCTGTGGTGGCGACATGTACGAAGTGTCGCTGGCTGACAGTTCCTGTAGCGTTGGCAATTGATTGGCCCGCGAAGTAGTGTTTAAATTGCGCAGAGAATCATGTAATAGCTTTCCCAAAGCAATAGGTTTTGTTTGCGGGGACTGAGGTTTCGGCTTTTTGTTAGCCTTGTTAACTCTGGCATATAGTACGTCTATATCCGGTTTAACTGGCAATTCCTTGGCACTAGTCGTATTGTCATATTGCGGTGTGCCTGTTATGTGTATGCTGTCTTCTTCAATTTCCGAATAAATTGGCTCCTGCTGGTAAATGTTTCTTTTCTCTTGACGCTGTCTTACCGTTGAACTCGCTTCCGAGCGACGATGGTGCCCATCCGTGCAGTCGAACCCAACAGCGCGTTGTTCACGCCTTCCAATTTCCTAGACACACGCGCATATATAAAGATTTTTTTACATAAGCTATTAACATTATAGAAACTCTTTATATAAGTACAAGAAATTTTAAACTATTTAATTGGCTTACCGCTTTTACATTTAAATTTGAATTATTTATGTGTAACATCCCTGCTTAGCACATACGAATATAAGTAGAAAGAAGTACGAGGCAAATATTTTGTTTGCATTTTCTATCTATCATAAACAGCTGATTAAACTTTCAACATAACGAAAATAATACACAGCCGTACAAGGAAGTTTTTATCCAACAGGCAAAATAAGCTACATAACTTCACTCAACGCTCAAGCGCACCAAAATCCATGCTGCTTGGATTCGATTAACTTTTGTGGGAGATGTCCAAAATTCTTATTAGAGCTTTAAATTCAAATAATTGGTTTAACGCGATAAAATCGTTCGGAAACATCTTTGAGCAAGTGTGGCATATCCAGACACAATCGACCAGCAGGTGGCAATTCACAAACAAAATGGGGCGCAGGTGGGAGCGAGTGAAGAGTGAAACGGAGACGACAATTGGAAACAGCAAAACTTATACTTTGTTGTCGTACAACATACTTGCACAAGATTTATTAACGGAACATTTGTACCTTTACGTTGGCGTTGAGCCATCAATGTTGCGCTGGGATCATAGACTTTTACGGCTGACGGAAGAGATTCAGTACATAAAACCTGATATACTGTGTTTACAAGAAATGCAGTTTAATCATTTAAAAAGTTTGGTCAAACATATCAGCTTTAAAAGAGAACTAGAATATGTGTTCAAGAAGAAAACTGGACACAGAACCGACGGTTGTGCAATTATCTACGATAGAAGTAAATTTAGATTACTGTCAGAGCGCCCTGTAGAGTATTATACCAATGGTGATGCAGTTCTAAATCGCGATAATATTGCGTTACTAGCCAAATTTGCCGTTAGGAAGGAACCACAAAAGAAATTCATCATAGCCACAACGCACTTACTTTACAATCCAAAAAGGCAGGATGTACGCATCGCACAAGTGGAAAAACTAATGGGTGCCATTCAACAGTACTCTGCTGAAGCTGAGGGAGAAAATAGTGCATTCATTCCAGTGATTTTAACAGGCGATTTTAATTTTGAACCTAAAACCAGGCCATATCAACTGTTATCTGAACCATGTAAATTCACACCAACCACTAAAAAATCAGCTGAATCTGAGGTAGCTGGTGATAGCAAGCAACAAACTAGCAGAGAATATTATTTAAAAGCACCAGACAGAGATATAAATAGACTGCAAATGTTGCCACTAGATTTCGGTATGCAAACAGCTTCAACGTTTCAAAATAAATGGACTACAGTTGACTACGTGCTCCAATCTGTTGATAAGAATCGGAATAAAATTCAAATACGATCAGTCTACTCGCTACCAAATATTAATGACTGTGTACGTACGGGTGCTATACCCAATAAGTACCTAGGTTCGGACCATTACTCGTTAGGCATAAAATTTACAGTATTTTAGCATTGGATTTCATATTGTTGCAAAATAAACAAATTATCAGAAGAAATAAATAAATTTAGTTTAGCACGATTTTTAAAATGAAACCTAATTACAAATGTTCACTGATAAAAACTAATCTTCAAAATAAGCATAAGATGATCAAAAACTCACCTCAAATGTTCGCACCGCATGTTCATCACTTGCCTCCAACTTTGCACGTATATTCCCAAGTATATAACCCAACTTGGAAAGCGTCACGTCCTGATCCAAATCGCCGTGATACGAACGATAAGTTTTCGTTTTCATAGATGTACTAAGGGTGCCACCGTCACAAGAAGTGCAGTTTCCTTCGGCACAACCACCAAGTGGGAAATTCAATTTACGTTGTGTAACAGCTCGTGGAGCTTTTTTAGGCGGCGCTCGAACTGTACGAGAGAAATCGAAACTCTGTGGTTCGGTGTCATTGGTATTCTGTGAGCAGGTAGGGGTTGTAGTCTGCGTTGAAGTTTGAACAGCAGAATGATAGCTGCCTGGTGGCGATTGTGGCGTAACGCTGGGTTCATAGGGCTGCAGCTCGTCTGCAGACGTTTGAATGCCAACACTGTGAGATGAATAGTTCCTACGCGGCTGTAAATTATCACGTTTGGGCGTAACCAAACGTAGAATTTTCTTCTTCGAACTATTCAAAAGACCGCGTGATGATGACTTCAAGTTACTTTTTAAGGTGCGATCACCACCTTTGGATTGTTTATTACACCATGGTGAAAGATTACGCCATTGTTCGCGCCAAACAAACTTTTGAGATTCGCGTGCCCTGTTTGGCGTGGAAATGGGTGGTGATTTGACAGGTGTGTCTTTAGTGGCAATATTCGCAGCCAAATTTGAGCATACGCCATCAACAGTGTCGAGATCCACCTTTGGTGGTACTTGCCAACCAATCGTTTGTTGTGGTTCAGCCTGTACTGCTTGGGATCTAAATTGTCGCTTCTTAGCAGTAGTGTCACAATTGAGCATTTCAGTGATCTTCGGTTCTTTCCAACCGAAGCTAAGTTCTTTTACGGGTTTTTCAGCGATTTGCTTTATATTTTTCTCATAATTAGTATATTTCTTAGTGGAATCCATAGCCGACCTTTCGAGATCGCTGAGAGAGGGACAAGATGGTAAGATAGGCAATCGCCGCGACGTTGCTTTAGCCAAGCCTAAATAAGAATACAGTAAAAAACAAAAAAAAAAAACATAGATTAGCCAATGGAATACAAAGACTTTTATTCATAGGCATTGCAAAACAACATACGATACCACAAATTAACCCAATTAAGCCGGCAGTTTATGAAAAGTAGGTTATCTAGATTGCAACTGAGCAAAGAAGAAGAAGTAAAACGACAAACACGATTTTAAAAAGAAGTTGTTTGTTCTTGTATTCCAATCAATAAAACTACAAATACATATGTATGTCAGAAAATAAGGCCAACGCACTTTATTCTAATAAGCAGTTAATGACCATAACAATCCCAAAAAAGTAACTATTATTTAACTACACAACTAATACCAAAAACCGTTATTGCACTACTTATTTTACTATTGTTTTACGAGCTTAATATAACTTACTCGTTGGGCAAGATTTTCGGTGCTCTCGTCTCCTATCTGACGCATACAACACCTTCTCCATTTCCACCTGAGAGGCTTTGTCTACTTTTACATTGCGGTTTTCAACTTGTCTTTCAGCATCTCTTACCATTGCACCCTTTCTGATCAAGAACTCATCTAGTATGCGCTCAGCTTCACGTAACGAGGGCGAAGTGGAGGATAGGGAAGACACAGTTGACTTTTCCTCTAAACAGAAGTAAGTTCGGGGCGGTTTGGGTGGTGCCTGTAGTGACCGACGTGGCCTATAATGCACGGATGATAGGCTTAAACGCTTTTGCAGCAAACGTCCTCCGCTTTTGTGTCTACGCCGTCCACTATCCGTATGTTTTGAACTGCTTGTAAGTGGTGTTGAATATTCAAATGCATCAGAGATTGAATCAAATTCACTTATTTTATCTAGAACTGGACCAGCAAACGTTTCTCTTTTCATTTTAACTGGTTTATTGGCGGCAGTCCAACTATCTATAGGTGGTGCAGTAGGCTCACACATATTTCGAGTCATTTGTGTGCGTGTAACTTTCTCTGACGACGATTTGGTTATTTGGGGAGTATTTAAACTCTGACTTTGTTGTCGACTAGCTTGCAGTTTGTGTTTGTTAACACGAACCTCAGATATAACACAGTTGTTGTGCAACTCTTGGATGATATGTATTAATGGTGCATCTGGAGCACTTGTCTCTAAACGACTAATCGCTGTAAGTTCATTTGCATTAGAATTAGCCTCTGTAGTGAAGTTTTGTTTTGATTTTTCCTGCTTATGCTCTTTTTGTGGCAAGGCTTGCGCCTCTTTATCAATTGGAATCTTGAAGCTAACTGGACCATCATATCTATTGTCCACTGGATTGGCGTACGACCGTGACATTAGTGTACCGGGCTTTATAAAAATAAAAACAAAACAAACAAACACAGACAATGTTAGAAATAAAAGAAAGTAACAAAACTATGCGTTTACAAACCTCTTGACAATCTGAACGTCTGTGCCGTCTTACATGTCGCACGTGTCCGGCACGTGTGCTCGCTGTTGCAGCATTGCACATTCCACCCCCCTCGCCGCTATCGCTGGTAAAACAATAACAGAAACCATCACGGCATGGCTTACACTTGCGCTCATGTTCTTTGTTAGAAATGTTTTGATTTATTAAATCAGCTTCGACTGGATCAGAGAAAGTTTTCGCTTCAGCTTTTTCTGTTACAAATCCACTCGCTAATTCGTCCACTTGAGTTACTTCACGGCTATGTGTGGACAAGCGCCGTATACGCCGAGCACGAAACTCATTTATGCATTCCTGTAAGCTGAATGATGAGCATGAATTAGCTTCATCTTCCTCTTCTCCTAAGCCCTCCGAATTAGACGAAGCCCCAAAAGAGTAATCTAAATATCCCAATTATGTCACATAAATAAATACTCGTTAATATATAAACATTAAGCTTACAAAGCAATTTTTTTTTTTTGCTTACCATCTAAATTCAATTCTACACCATCATCAGAGTCATGAAGTACATTAAGCAGCCCATTCTCATCATTATTTTGTTGATGTTGCACATTTACAATAGCTTCGCTGGATTTTTTATTTGATTTTTTTATTTTCGGATTGGTCATACTTAAATCCGAATATCATTTGTGCTATCGCTCACTGCAAGATGCACAAGCAGAACTGCACTTACTAACCTTCGACAAAACAAATAACACTATTGCCGCTAACACAATCCAACTTGTTTCAAGCGGGTTATCTATTAAGTGCAATATGATGTTGATATTCTACACGTTGCACTTGTAATAAACGAGTTTTACTAGCCTATTCAAATAAATTTCAAATGCAAGTCAATTAACGTTACTTGGCGTTATCACAAAAATTTTCTTTTCATTACGCTTTCTGAACTCATTCGTACTGCTTAATTCAGGGTTGCATTTGAAAGTTAACATATAATATCTTGATTTAACTTAAATGCTTTTAATATGTGAATTTCAACATCTTACTATCACATAAATATGGCGTATACTCGTATAACACGCTCCAATTATTATCCAGATTATTATTGATCATGTTACCAGAGAATGTAAAATATATATATAATATAATCTACATTCTCTGATGTTACTACACTTATTACTTGAATACTTGAAGCAGAGAATGTTAAATTTTCACACTTTCTCTGGTTATATAGTTTTTTTTTGTTTACTATGTCACCATTCGTTTTATCAAATATGCAAACGCAGCACAAACCTTCATGTAGAATAGCTCATCAAAGCAGAAATAACAGAACACAAAATTTTGCTGACGGAATTTGTGGAGTACATTGCCGTTGTTTTCCAAGTTTTCCTTTGTTGATTTGTTTGTAGTATATGTATATTTTTTGTACGTGATCTTTATTGTGATAAATTCAATCAAAAAAATATATATTTTGGTCTCACACTGTTTGCAAAGCAGAATTGTTGTGATGTTTTCGCAAATGGCAAATATATTTCTATGTTCCCAACGCACTACCTCCCTGTTCAAACACATTCCAGCACAAAAAACGTCAACCAACTGCGATGTCTCTACGTGCAATTAAGAAACGTGAAAATCAGCAAACTTCGTCAACTGGCGCACGCCAACCGCTCTTTAAGAAATCCAATACATCTCCACAACAACGCAAGCCGCTATTAACGGCAAGTGGTGCTAACAACAGTAACAATATCTCGAAGCCTAATAATACTGCCATTTTTAAACAATCAAGTAGTCTACATTCACTACGCAATCTACAGAACCAACACACCTTACTCGATCGCGCAGTACACTCCAGCCCAGAACTACGTTATCCGCAAAGTATTGACAACAATACGGTTGAAAGCTTCGCGCATGTGGTACGCACCAAATCTGATGGCGATTTGAGAGCATTGCTAAAAAGTTGTACGGGTAATGCAGCAGACACTGCAGGTCGTGGCTTGATTGGTGCTAAATCAGAAGTGTGTTTGGAATCCATTTCTTCGCACAGCTACCAAGACGGAAGTCAAACTACGTCTATATCCAGTGATACAACTCCAACGCCACCTACAACATTGCGTACAAATATTTGTAAACCTATTGATTCGCTACAGCACCCAACAACCAGTACCACAGGTAATATGTTGTCCGGTGCTCGCTCACATCGTGACCTTTCACAGTCAGCTTACGCCGCTAGTACCGGCACGTATGACATCACACTTTCACCAACACGCCGACGTATGAGCGAATGTAGTTTAAATTCGAGTACGAACCTTTCGCAACGCACCAGTGCAATGTCCAGTAGTGTATTAACACTTTCATCAAATAATCCTGCCACAAATGAGCCGAACACAGTGATGCGTGTGCCTATAATCGGTTATGAGGTAATGGAGGAACGTGCGCGTTTTACAGTGTACAAATTGCGTGTAGAAAACCCAATGACCAATGATTGTTGGTTAGTGTTGCGACGCTACACAGATTTCGTTCGTTTGAATACGAAACTTAAACAGCTGTTTCCAAATGTTGCGCTGTTGTTGCCACGCAAGAAAATATTTGGGGACAACTTTAATGCCGTCTTCCTGGATAATCGTGTGCAGGGTCTACAAATATTTGTCAATTCCATTATGGCCAAGGAGGAGTTACGAAAATGCAAATTGGTGCGCGAATTCTTTTGTCTAGATGAACCGCCTTCATACTCTGAATCTATGGAGGAGTGTAGGGTAAGTTAAATACAACTAACAAGTATATTTTTTTTTAACAATTAAATATAATTTTGAATTTTAGGCAATTTTTGAAGCACAAGAAGAAACGATAGCACATCTAAAAGTGCAAATAAATAGCAAAAACGAATTGATATTAAGTTTACAGCAAAAGCTAAGAGATGAAATTGCGGAAAAAGAGCAGCTAAAAATTGCGATCAAGTAATCATATATATCTTATTAGAATTATTTTACAAAATGTTTACATTGCATTTCTCTTTCAGAGACGCATCCGCCAATTGTATGCAGTGCGCTGCTGCGAAGCAGAGTACTTCCTAAAACAAGTACAACACATCTCACACAAATAATTACCACGTAAGATATTAAGTTTAATTGATTGATTGTATGTGTTATGCAAAGCATAGCTGTCGACAATTAGAAAAACAATTATTAAATCAAAGAGAAGATATTCTGCTGCAATAATTGCAAAATAAAACTTCGGTCAAAATTCGAGTTTCTCAACAATTAAATTAAATTAAATTATTTTCATTTGGATAAAATCAGACGTAACTTAAATGCAATTTGCGTTCCAATAACGCTTAACTATTCGTTCTCGAACTGTATGGTATTTTTAATATTTAGTATACATTTTGTCTTGTTAAACATGAAGTGCTTTAGTTTTAAAATCGATATTATAGTAATATACACAATATTTTTAAACAACAGATTTTCAATCAAAACAAAAACCAATGTATGTAATGTATAGTTAAAAATAGTATATATATTTGATGATTTTCCTTATATTGACATAGTTTATTAGCGTAATTTTTCTAAGAGCTATAAATGTTAAATGCAATAATAATGTTTTCAAATAGAATACACATAATTTTCTTATAAATATACTTAGAAACAACAAAATAATAACTAAACCGTATATATTTACTTTCATTTACTTATAGTACTTTTAAGGCATTTATTGCAGGCAAGCGGAAGACAGTAAAAGACAAATTTTGAATAATTTTAAAGGCTGGTCATGGCCGGTGGCCTTGCGTATGCTTTCGGTATAAAACCATATTTCCTCGTTTTTGGCGCATAAGCCCACAACCAACCATCCACCGTTTGATTATTTAAATCTGCATAGATCCAATCTCCTCTGCGCACATTCAAATCATCTGGCGCTTGCGCCTATAAATACACATATGTATATAGATAGAATTATGCTTTTACAAATTTCTTTAGTACGTAAAACGTTTACCTTATAATCGTAAAGCATCACCAGCTCAGTGCCATGGTAACGCAGATCATCTGCGCTAATACCACCAATTTGTTGTTGTTGCTGTTGATGCTGTGCTGCATTTTGTTGTTGCAAGTTACTAATGCATGTCGCATCCAATTGTGCGGCCGATGTGGTTAGCGTTTGACCCAATGATGTTAAATTACTATTCAAATTGGCCGCCGTAAGCTCTAAATTTAATTGTGTTTGCGATTTATGTACGGCATTGTTATTGGCATTGGCGGCACCAATCAAACTAGCTGCATCTTGCACTGTGCCGCATACATTCAACATTTTCTGTTGTGTTTGCAGCACACTTTCCGCTGGGAAGACGAAAGCTGACGGTATGAACCCCTCCTGGCCATCACTACGCACAATCCAAAACCAATCGGGATCTTCACGATTTAAGACTGTAACAAATTCGCCACGCTCCACAGATAAGTCATTTTCATCGCGTGCTATGAATGTGTAGAGCACAATATAACGGCCGCTGGGTTCTTTATGGAATGGTGTGCATTCCGGTTCTAGTAACAGATTCACTTCGGAATTCTTTGATGGTGCGCCAATAGTTCCCGCATTGGCGTTGGTGCCGCCACAGCTAGGTACAACACCAGCACCACTATTACTACCATTTACGACGGCGTTGACAGCGCTTACATCGTCAATTAATTCCATCTTACTCTCGGCACTCAAAAGTGGCATATTCTCTTGATTATGCTCTTGCACGTTGACATTTTGATCGCGTGGTAGTTTTTTCTTTATAGCAAGATCCGCCAGCTGTGTGTTGTACGGCGCACAGTATGAGTATGGTATGAAGCCTTCCTGTCGCGTATCCTGGCCAATTACGTAGACCCAGTCGTTTTCACGATATAAAATGTTGACTATTTGCCCACGCTTCACTTCAAGTTCATCATCCACACAGGGAGTGAAATCGTGCAGAACAACCATTTTTGAGTCTGGACTGAGCCCGTGTTCCTTCTCAATGCCAACACGTACTAATGTTTCTATGCTAGATGAACCGGTTATGCGGCCTAAGCCAACACCAGGGATGGGTAAATCGCGTTCTATGTTGGCGTTAGTGGCTTAAACAAAATAAAAATTACAATAATTATTACAAAAATGTTGCGGAAATGTAGAACAAAAACTAAACAAGTATGCAACTTAAGTCTTTTGTTATATCCGTAGACAAATATTCTTCAGGTATTTGCAGAAAGTAAACCAATATTTATTAATATCAAAGGTTAAAAATTTGATTTAATAAATAGGAACATTCCTGTTACTTTATAACTGTTTCTTAATTTTTGTTTACGTTGTTCGGAAAAAATCGGGTTTGTGGTGTTAAGTGACATTACCTTTCTTTTTATCGCGGCGCATGCGCACAGGACATAAAAACGCCATTTTCGAAGTGTTTTACTTTTAATTTAAATTATATTTTGCAATTACACTTTCATATTATATTATTTCAATTATTTGTTACGATTTAATAAGTTGTAGTTTTATTTGCCGTTTAAAAAAATAGTTTGCTTTGAGCTACATTCTAAGTAGATAAATTGGGCGACATCTATGCGATGGAATTTCATTTCACAGTTATCAACAACTTAATTTTCAGATTTTTAACACTGAGTATTTATTTTTATATTGAAAAGAGTATTATTTTATTGTAGCAGCTTTAATTTAGAAAGAAAATTATTATGCAAAAAAAGAAATGTAATAAAAGTGTTAACAAATCTAAAATATATAAAAATTTAATTTTTGCCAAATTTTGAAATGGGTTAAGGCGTGCAACACTGTTCGCAATTTATTGTTTATGTTTACGTTTAATCTCATTAGCCCAGTTGGGAATCGAAATAAAGATATATTGATTTATACTATGAATATTCATACATTAACATTATCTGCTCCCTGTGTTAAAAAGTTAATTTACTTTATAAGAAATATACGCTGCATAAAAATACGTTTTCATAAACAAAATTTGTTCGCTCTATCTCTTGGTCTTGCAATATTCCAATAAGATTTCCCTTAATTTCTCTTGCATCGCTCTTTAATCCCTGGAATGTCAAGATAAAATAAACATGCAGTTTGCATATATTTTTGTAATTCTTCTTTGACCATCAACCTATGTAGTATTGCCAAGTTTAACGCTCGTTATGAGCCTAAATTGCTCATAATATCATGATTTTTGTCTCCTTGTTTTGAATTTTACTCACCGAAAATTCGAGGTAAATGCATTTCTATGTAAATTTAAGATACACATATACAGTTACAACTGATTTTAGTACTTGCATATAAAAATAGAAATGTCAAACATATGTGCATAAAAATTCGCAGCGGCAACTCTGCTTGCAATGTATTTCTGTTTATATCCATTCGGTACAATTTCAATACCTATGTGCATGTTACAATTGCCAGTATATGTGTATTATATGAAGAAATATAAAATAAATGTTTTAGCCTTTGCAAGTGCATCAATTAAATATTGTACAAATGTACTCGTACATAGAGAATCGCGGTCATTGATTTAAAATACTATTAAATCTATAAATATAGTTAAACCGTTGTTCAGTAAATAAAATATTCACCTGCGACTCTTTCTATAGCTAGAAAGCCGCAGTGGCCGTATTAAAACCAAAGTGTTTAAATAGTTATTTTTACACGTTTGCAGATTCTTCTCGCTATTCGATTTGCGAATTTAACCACAAATAAGCGCATCAGTTGCACCGTTCTTAGGTAAGTAATGCTAAGCTAAATCTATTGTGCAATACGGAGAAAGCGCTATCTGGAAGATTCTGGTACAACCACGCTGCTTTCAATTATGTACATATGTATATAAACTTGAAAATATGCATACAATTTGTTAGAATCGTGTACACGTATTCATATTACTAAATTGGTGAAATGTGTTCTTCAAATGAATAACCTTGACATATTTCATCAGTTTTCTAAAACCGCATTCCAAACCGGTGACACCATATGCTAATATGTATGTAGGTATATACTTAAGTATATGCAAGAACAAGAATGATTGAGATTCTTGATGCAAAAACGTTAGTATGTGTGTGTTGTGCACCACTATAGGGTTGCTCCTTATATCCATACACATACACACAGATGTGTGTATATTTTGCTTGTCCAGGGATCAAGGTTGCTTTTTTCAAATCCAAGCAAACCCAAGGTCAATTAATGGAATAAGAGCGAAAAAAATCGAATAAGAATATTCAAGGTGGATTCTCTTGATTATGATGTCTCCTTGAAAATCTCTATATTAATTGCCTAACTCCATTTCTTTAGTGAAATTTTCAAATACTTTTAATTTCCTCTTCGTTAGTAACAAATAAATGTATTTTTTAACGATTTAAATCGTTATTTTTTATATGTGAATTTCTATACTTGTACAAATTTTCCAAAAATAAAAACTCTAACTGGCAAACACAGCGTGAAACAAAAGTGGGTAACAATTCAAAAAATTTACTTTAGTTCAAAAATAGATATTTCAATGACAGCTAGATCCGCAAAAAACAAAACTTCCGGCATGAGTTGCACTTGTTGAATTGTGAAGCTGCATAAACACAAACATACATATTATATAACTAAAATAAATAAACAAAAAAGTAACAATAATAAAATAATCTTTATTTTGATCTTCCGTGCGCTTCTTTCACAGCGCAGGTGTTAACTATTTATGCCACACTCGTATTGTCACTCACTTTTAGTGTTTCCCGTTACAGTTCGGGTCAGTAACGGATTACTTGTTTGCACATCAGCAAATACAAGTGAGCGTAACCTTTATTGTTGGTACTCAGCAACAAGTGATCTCGTCACATGAGCAGCAAATAATTTATTGTCCTTGACACACTCCACACACACAATCAACATTCGCTGCACTTGTCTGGCTGTAGAAGTACTTGTCTCGTTAAACGTTGTTAATATTTTACTTTTATTTTCAAGTTAACTGGTTTTACTATTGTAATCAGTAGACGAGTGGCTCTTCACCAGATATCATGTGATTGGCGGTTTTATGAATGAATGCAATATGCAAAAAATAAACTAAAAAAAGTTATTGAAAAAAGTACGCACAAATGACGAAATCTAGGTGAAACTGTATTTCATTAAATCTCCAAATATGACCAGTGCTGAAGCATTAGAAACTGGTAAAAAATCTAAAAATTATGGTAGGATAAAGCAGCTATGAAACGTTAAATGGAGCATGATTTTTTGTTTTTGCATATTGTCAGAGTCAGTTCGCCATAGTTGTACTATACAGAAGCTAGAGATTTTAACGAACAAAAA